CATTTTACTATCTTGTGTGTACAGATGTTTTTGTTCGGGTCTATGTCTGTGCAGCATGTGGATGCTGGTGTCTATGTTAAGTCAGAAGAGGTCTCTGAATCCCCTGGAACTAGTTATGTGAGTCACCATGTGGGTGCTGGGACATGAACCTGGGTCTTCTGCAAGCGCAAGATGAGCTAATCTTAACCTCTGAGCCATTTCTCTGGCCCTCGATTACCTCTGAAAAGGGAAACCATAAAAAGCTCTCTCTCCGGGTGGCTGCAGGTTTGGGAGAATGTAACTGACTCTTGGGTGAAGGTGGTGGCCAATTACAGCCCAATAAATATGGACTGCTGCTATCCACACAGCCGCCACCCCCATCTGAGGATGGTGCCTCTCCCATCACGAGTTCCTTCATTCACTGATTCAACAAGTATTTTCTGGGCATGTGTTGTGTGCAGGCAGACCTGTCTTCACAAGCGAACTTCCATATAAGGCATGCCACAGCTATTGGCCCTGAGGTGGGGGCCCTCTCCCTTCCTGCCGGCCCTACCCTGGCAAGGCAGGCTGGGGATGCAAGCCACCGATGTGGTTTACTTTGGAGAATGGTGCCCTCTGCTGGGACGGAATCGAAGTCCCTTCGGGATAACCGCAGCAGCTGATCACTGAAGGTGTCCCTGGCAGTTTGGGAGTTTCAAGGAACTCTACCTATGGAAATTCATTTTTCAGGAAGGATTCATGTATATGGGTGTGTCACCAGGCTTGTCACTCCCTCAGCCTCCCGAAGCAGTAATGCTAGCAATGTCCCTAACTCTGCCCCCTCAGGCCGGGCACCCTGCTGAGCGTTTCCAGATGAAAACTTGTTGGCTTACCCCATTTGCAGAGCTGAAGTGATTTCCCAAGGACTTATCTGGAAGTGCAGGATCTGAATTTGGCCTCTGAACCATACCTCCTTAGGAAAGTTGTAATATGGTGGTGTACACCTTCAATCCCAGTACTTGGGAGGCAGAGGTATCACATCTCTGAATTTGAGGCCAGCCTGGTCTACAGAGAGATCTCCAGGATAGTCAGGACTAGACAGAGAAACCCTGTCTCAGGAAAGGAAAAAGAAGTTGGTGGGAGGTGGGACGGAAGGCTCTGCCTTCACTTTGTGGGGAGATGGCCCACAGAGGTCCCCAGCTATCCAAAAAAGACACATACGGGGTGGGCCGCTGGTGGGGCTTCCCAGGGGGACTGCCCCAACTCTGTCAGTGGTGACCTGTCACCCAGCTGACCTCAGACAGCCCCTGCCTTGACTGGACACTTGGGTCTTAAAACCCCTCTCAGCCTATGCAATGACTGGGCATGTGGAATTACCTGCACCCTAATGGAGGGAAAAAACAAAAACAAAAACAAAACATAGCTTAGGTCAGCCACAAGGTAAAAGGCCTGCTATGAATTGACCAGGCTGACTTCACTTGGGGTGAGGGGAGTTTGTGAGGGGAGTGCAAGGAGGAGGCTGAGGAGATAGGTTCCTCCAGGAAAACTCCAGAGCTTTTGTTTTGCTGCTGTTTGTTTTGAAACAGTCTCAGCATGAGGTCCAGGCTGGCTTTGAACTCTTGTCCTTCCAGCCTCCCCTTCCCTCCACTGGGATCTTTGGTGTGTGCCACCACATCCATCCTTAAAGATTCATTTTTTTCTTCTCTCTTGGGCTTGGAGCTCTGTGGAAGTCTGGAGAGAGGTCTGAGATTTGGCAAGAGTGGACCTGAGAGGTCATCCCAGCTTGAACTCTCCCGACAGACAGCCCTCATCTCAGCCAGAACTGCATCCTTAGCTCTCATCACCGGATTGGAGGTGACCGTGAAGCCTCTACAAAGATGGATGCCCTGGACTGTTTAATTGTGTTAGAAACTAGACCAGATGGTAATGAAAGCAAATCAATACCAAACTGGGTGTGACGGAGACAACGGAGTGACCCACAAACCGTTATGCAAAAGTGTAACTCAAAGCCGGGTGGTGGCGCACGCCTTTAATCCCGGCACTCGGGAGGCAGAGGCAGGTGAATCTCTGTGAGTTCGAGGCCAGCCTGGTCTACCCAACAAACAAACACAAAATAGAAAAAAAGTGTAACTCAAAATGTGGTACAACATACAGGAGGTAAACATTGGAGGACTCACACAGCTACAAAAACAAAAGATTAACCAAATACCCAGGCAGTCCTCATTAGTAGGGTCGACAATTAGGGGCGTGACTCATTCTCTGGAAGTATTTTTATTTTGTTTTAAAAAATACATTAATTTTTTTAGTTTGCATGTGTGTGTGTGTTTGTGTGTGTTTGTGTATGTGTGTTGGAGGGGTCTGGAGGTCAACTTTAGGAAGACAGTTCTCTCTTTCTGCCGTGTTGGGTCCCAGGGATTAATGAATTGAGGTCATCATGCTTGGCAGCAATCACCGGCTGAGCCATCTCACCAGCCCCTGGCTCCTGTTATAGAACCCCAAGAAGCAAGTCCAAAGCAGAACTGTGTGACTCGTACCCTAACCGCCTATTCCAGGCCTGTTCTTCCCAGATACTCAGGTTGGTGATTTGTACCATAGTCAGAAGACTCTAAGTTCATTCACGGAGGCCAGGTTTGGCTGTGAAAAGTCACTTCTCTCACACCCTCCACAAGTCCCAGGGGAGAAGTTGGGCCAAACAGTGGCTGTCTGGCTGTTCGGTTTGTGACTAGCTGCAGATAGGATTTCTCTGCCTCATTCATCCTCTGAGACGGGAGCCAAAGATAAGGGGCAGCAGTGTGACTGGCTGGGACATCCTACCCTTCCGCACCTGCTTATCAACAAGAGCAGAGGGGCTACCACAGGCAAAGGGGCAAAAGAACAGGTAGGAGCAGCAGGGCAAGGATAGGTGACAAACCTGCATGGTTCCCTGAAAGACTTGTATGTTGGTTAGTGTGTCAGTACATGGGTGCGTATGCAGGCCACGGTACACCTGTGGCTGTCACAGGACAACTTGGGAGACTACCAAAGCTGGTGGCAGGCACCTTTACCTGCTGAGCCATCACACTGGCCTCATAATTCCCTTTCAATTTCTTCATCAGATGACATTAGTTGTCAGTCTCGACATCAAGCCTACACATGCACCCAAATCACTTAGGGCCTGTGTAACTCACAGCTGGCTCCACCCCCAGCATGCCATTCACCATGAGTCGGCTGGGGCTTCTGAGTCCAGGACTGGGGTTGAAGTACAGATGTTTTAAAGATTTAAGCACTCCTGGGGCTGGAGAGCAGTTAAAAGCAATTGATGTTCCTGCAGGGGACCTGTGGCTCAGTTCCGGAGTGACAGGACAAGACAATGAGGTTTTTCCTTCATCTCATATTCCTTCAGAGGCCATTTTAGGTTTGACTAGAATTTGACCTCCTTGATCGAGAATCCCATGAAAAATTACCCAACTCTATTCTAAGAACCCAAGGGTCAAAATACCCCAGGTCATTTTTCTTGGTTTCTGTTAAACTGACTGCTTTTGCAAACCTATCTCTGCAGCTGCTTATCTTAGCTTCTGTTAAGCTACCTGCTTGCACAAAGCCTCCCCCTGCAGCTGCCAAACAAGATTGCAGGATGTAGTTTTTGCCTTTAAAAGTCCCTTGCTTTAAAGACTGGGGGCTACATTTGGGTCCCAATGCCTGAGTGTAGTCCCAGTCAGCAAGAATAAAGACTTTCAATTGGCTATAGCCTGCATCTGCCTGGTCTTCTCTAGTGGGCTCCCCATAACACCAGCTGCCACACGGCAGCTCACCACATGCTATAATTCCAGTTCCAGAGGATCTGATTCCCTTTTGTGGTCTCCCTGGGTATCCCACACATACCTGGCGTACATACATAAATGCAAGCAAAACATTTATATACATAAAAATAAATCTTAGAGGGTTGGAGAAATAGCTCAGTGGTTAAGAGCACTGACTGCTCTTTCAGAAGACCTGGGTTTGATTCCCAGCACCCACATGGCAGCTCACAACTGTCTGTAACTCCAGTTCCAGGGGATCTAATACCTTCTGGTGCCTCCGTGGGCAAAGGGGGCACTAGGCACACACATGATACAGAGCAATACATACAGGGAAAACACCCAAATACATAAAATAAAGCAACAACAAAGGAACAATTTTGGACTTCACCTTAAAGATAACATCATCCTGAGACCCCGGCAGTAGCAAGGACATTCTAATTTATTTATTCTAATTTGACCAACACTCTGAGTGAATTCTCTAATTTCCCATTTTGCTTGACTTTGACACATCATTTTTTTAAAAAGTTAAAAAATAAAACAAAACCCTCTCACAAAGAAGTCCCTCTTTAATGCAGGAAAGTCCCCTCACTCAGAGGATGACTGTGAGTCCAAGTTTAAAGAAGTCAGCAAAGTTAAGGGCTGTGGTGCTTGGGAAGTCTTGAGTCAGTGATTGCACTTACCAGGTGGCAGGTTATCAATCCAGCCAACTGTATGTTTGTTTGAGACAGGGTCTCACCACAAAGCTCTGGCTGGCCTGGAAAGCATTTCCCTGAGCCAAGAGTCTTGATATATAACCCAGGCTGACCTCCAATTTGAGAACTGCCTCAGCCTCTGTGTGCTGGGATTTACAGACACCCACGACCCTTCTTCCCCTCCCCCTAGTCACCCACCTCAGTGACCTTGAATTCCTGATGTCACCTCCTGAGTGCTGTAATTACAGGCTTGGGCCACTCAGTTCCAGGGGAAGGAAGTTAACTAGAGTTCTCTTAGGGCTCTGAAGCTGCAGGAGGGGAGGTCGGTGTTCCTCTTGCTGCCTGTTATAGCATTACTTCCCCAGTTGTGCCCTGAGATCAATGGAGCCCACAGGGCAATAAATCTTGGGCATATCTATACCACCAGGGGGAAGTTGAGAAGTGAGGGGGTTTGCAAGAGCTTATTAAAAAGTCTAAAACCCACCAAGCCGAACCATTCTCATAAATGCATGGTATGGCATGAGAATTAGATTAGATAAGTGCTTTGTTTCAAATTCACTCCCCTAGCACATCTGGGAAAAAATTCGTTTAATAAAAAAACTGTAGAACATTTTTACACGATTGTCATCACTCTCCATCTACAGTACACAACAGAGAAAATTAAAAATGCAAGACAATTTAGACATACTCAGCTAAAAAAAAAAAAGCGGTGATCCATCCCAGTGTGAGGCCTCAAGGCTTGGAGATCAGAGAAATGCAGCACCGGGACCAGTGAGCCCTGCAGGCTTCTCTTCCCCAGGGCCTGAGGGGACACTGACCCCCCACCCCCCAGCCTCTAACTTTTTGAAAATTGCATAAGGAAAAAAAAAGGCTGCAGGAAGAGGCCTCTTTCTAAAGAGAGGGAACCATTGAATGGAAAGTCAGGAAGGGCATCAGAGCAGCTGGCCCTGGGGCTGAGCCCTGTGTGGCAGGCAGAGACCTCTAGGTTCAGCCTCTGAAGCAACCCTGCCCTCACTGACGTCATTGCCACATCCTTCCATCTGAAAGGCTCACAGTCCAGCCCTCACGTCAGAGGCAGCGTGCTACGCACGCACGTCACTTCCTGGCAAGCTCCAGAGTCCTTGGCTAAAGTGGAGATGCCGTTGCAACCTGATCTTTTAGTTCTTGCCTGGACAGCTTGGCAGGGCAGCCTAGTCGTCCTCACCGCCACCATACATGTCAGCCAGTTTCTTGAATCGATTTCCCCATTCGTTAAGGTAGTTGTAGTCCTGGTCCTGGTCGGAGGCGGAGGAAGTGAGGGAGCTCAGGGAGGCAGCATCAGAGCCATTGCCCTCATAGTCAAACACTAGCAGGGAGTCGTAGGGCGGGGCAGTAGGGTCCGTGTTAGCAGCCTTCAGGTTCTAGGGAAACGCAGAACAGCAGTTAGGAATGGCAAGATGGCGACCCTTGCCAGCTGCCTGGGTTCTGGCAAATCAGCGCATCTGCTGAACCTTAATACCCCTACCACCTCCACCCCATGGAAGGTGGCCTGGCCTCTGCCCCCAAGGCTTTGAAAGTTGGAATTAACAGAAAGTATTTAAGACCATGATCTTGAAGTCAGACAGATTAAGCCAGAAGATTACACACACCAGTTTTGAGACTGGGCAAACCCTGGGCTGGAGAGATGGCTCAGCCGTTAAAGGCTAGGCTCACAAACAAAAATATAAGAGACTGGGCAAGTGTCTCTACTGCTCTATGCCCATTTCCCATCTGTAACACAGTGATGCTCCTGTAGCTTTTGAGGAATTGAATACATAGAAAACTTAGTAGGATAGTACCCAACAGTTAGACATTGTCTCTATATGTGCAAATGTGGGGATTAAGACAGAATTTGCAAACTATCTAGAAACTGTCCTCATCTAACGAGAGGCTCAAAGCATCTCTGAGTCAGCAGCTCTGAGCAACATTTCCAGGTGTGAGCACCCGTGTGTCTGATGCAGATTTCTGGGTATGAGCACCCGTGTGTCCGATGCAGTGCTCTTCCAAACAAAACTCAAGTAGAGAGGCTTGCTGCTAGACTACTTCCAAGAGGCAAGGGGGGCAAGCAGGTCTGTTTCCATCTCTGCAGAAGACAGGAGCAGAGGGTGGAAGTCAGGGCTGAGGCGTGTGTGTGTGTGTGTGTGTGTGTGTGTGTGTGGATCAGAAGACAACTTTAGGGAGTCTGTAGTAGGTTCACATATATCTCCCACCTATCTAACTCATGGTTCTACAAAATAACTTATTTGGTGGGTTAAAGCTGGATTTGGGTCAAATCTAAATCAATGGAGGCCCAGACTTGGGGAGTGTGGGGGGAGGTACCAGGGGCTCCAGTGGTCTTGAAAGTTCCCTGGAAGATTCCAGTGCCAGGCAAGTTTGGGGGCCTGTCAGTACCCATCTATCCAATCCTTGAAGTAATCTACAACAGCTTCTACAATTTTCTCCACATTAGAATCTGATGGTAGTGGTGCCTTTAATCCCAGCACTGAGGAGGCGGAGGCAGGCAGATCTCTGTGAGTTCAAGAACAGTCAGAACTGTTACACAGAAAAACCCTGTCTTGAAAAAAGCAAAAAAAACAAAAAAACAAAAACAAAACAAACAAACAAACAAACAAAGGCAGCAGGTGATCTTGGCCACTCTCTAACCCCCAGGGACAGGATTTCTCTGTAGCTTTGAGGCCTGTCCTGGAATTTACTCTGTAGACCAGCTGGCCTTGAACTCACAGAGATCCACCTTCCTCTGTCTCCTGAGTGCTGGGACTAAAGGCATGCGCCACCACTGTCCAGCTTACTTTTTTTTTTTTTGAGGACTCAAGTTCAGTGCCTAGCACTCATGGAATGACACAACTCAAGTTCCAGGGGTTCTGATGGCCTTTTCTGGACTCCACAAACACATGCATACACTTAGGCACAGGCATATACACACACACACACACACACACACACACACACACACACATACACACACACACACAAATAAATTTAATCAATAAATCTAACAAGACTCTTTCTTTTAAAGATTTATTGATTTACTTATTATGCATGCAGTGTTCTGTCTGCATGTATGCCTGCAAGCCAGAAGAGGGCACCAGATCTCATTATATATAGATGGTGGTGAGCCACCATGTGGTTGGTGGGAATTGAATACAGGACCTCTGGAAGTATAGCCAGTGCTCTTAACCTCTGAGCCATCTCTCCAGCCCGTCTAAAAAAACTTTTAAGTAGGTTGGAGAGATGGTTCAGAGATTAAGAGCACTGTCTGCTCTTCCAGAGGACCTGGGTTCAGCTGCTAGCACCCACATTCAGTGGATTATTACTGCTTGTCACCCCAACTCCACATGTACATTTCCCTCCCCAAACACATACACGACTTTTAAAATTATTGTTTATTATTACGACTGTCTGTTTTTCTAAAGACAGGTTATCACTGTGTAGCTCTGGCTGTCCTGGAAGTCACTCCATAGACCAGGCTTGTCTCGAACTCAAAGATCTGCCTGCCTCTACCTCCTGAGTACTGGGATTAAAGGCGTTCATCACCACCACCTGGCTTTTAGAAACCAATTTTATTTTTAAAGGTTTACTTATTTTATTGCCCGCATGTATGTCTGTGAACCATGTGCATACAGAGCCTAGACCAGAAGAGGGCACTGGAGCCCCCAGAACTGGAGTTACAGAGTTGCCAGCCCCCCTGTGGGTGCTGGGACTCAAACCCCAGTCCTCTAGAAGAGAAGCCAGTGCTTTTAACTGTTAAGCCCACTCCAGTTCCACTTACGCAAGTTTAAAATAGAATAAACATTAAAAAAATTTAAAAAGCTGTCCCCTGACCCTCACATGTGTACCATGGCAGACATAGTGTATAAACACACTAAAAACATAAAACACAAATAAGCTGTAAGAATATGAAATAGAATAGAAAAACCAAGAGGCTAGGAAGAGTATCATAAGCCTTTAATTACAGCACCAGGGAGGGAGGGACAGGCAGGAAGACTCTCTGTGAGTTGGAGGCCAGCCTGGTTTACACTGAGAACTCCAGGACAGCAGAGCTACATAGTGAAACCTTGTCTCAAAAACCGAACAGAATCTGGGCGATGGTGGCGCATGCCTTTAATCTCAGCACTCGGGAGGCAGAGGCAGGTGGACCTCTGTGAGTTTGAGACCAGCCTGGTCTACAAGAGCGAGTTCCAGGAAGCCACAGAGAAACCCTGTCTTGAAAAACCAAAACCAAACCAAAACAAAAACAAAAACCAAACAGAGGCTGGAGTAATGGCTCATCAGCAAAGTGCGCTCACTGGCTGCTAAGGGGCTCAATCACCAGCACCCATATGGGGGCTCACAACTGTCTGCAACTCTAGTCCCAGAGGATCCACCCTCTTTTGGCCTCTGGGGACACTGTACATATGTGGATTACAGATTTGAATGCAGACAAGACATCCAAAAGTTTAAAATAATAAAACAAAAAATAATTTAAAGACAAGCAGCAAAAAGCAACACACACATGCGCACACACACACACACACACACACACACACACACACACACACACAGGAAGAGAGAGAACCTTACACACCAAAACCCCAAATCAAACCTTCGTTGTCTGATTCCAGAATACTTTCCTAATAACTGAGTGTTTGAATACATGGCAAATTGTAGAAATTGGAGCAGGAAAGCGAAGCCCACAGATACTCTAGTATTTAGAGATCACACAGTTGGTGGGTAGAGCCAGAACTTGAACTCAAGAGTCCGGAGAAAGCCTGTGTTTGTTCTCCCATACTATGTGCATTTGACTCAGGGCTGCTGTGGGCTAGTCTGCCATGCCTCACCTCGATGATGAAGTTGCCGATTTCATCTGGGTTGGCTGGCCGGGGACGGTACATGGGCGTGGGGATGAAGGTTGGTGCTACATCATTGCGGAGAACCACCTCAGGCCTGGCCTCTAGCCCCCGGTGGAGTTGGGTGATGTCATAGTCCTTTATGAAAACAAATGGAAGAGTTGAGAATGTGTCCCATTCCCCACCAGTTACATCTCACCCCTCTGATGCTCTGGATGTGGCCAGAGATCCCAAAATCCCTCATTTCAACTGCTGCTCCCCCCAACTTAAGGCAGTCTTGAGAGCCACTTAGCTGGTTCTAGACACCCTCCCAGGAGAGGGAGCTGGTGGCCAGTTCTGCATGAAGACAGGTGCCTCGGCCAGGGCTAGTCAACACAGCTAACAGAAGTCACTGGGTGGCCCAAACACTTCCATCACGGGCCGGGGAGCATCCATGTCTCCTCCTAACCCTCCAGTGACCCACCTGGTCCTCTTCGCCACCACCCTCTTCACCATAATAGAAGACGTTGTCACGGGTGTCATCCTCTGGGAGCAGAAGGGGCTCTTTGACCTTTCTCTTCTTTCTCACCAACAAGAGGAGCGCCAGCAGAAGGGCTGAAAGAGTGGGGAAATATGAGCACTCCCCCAACCACGAGGACAGCCAGGCAGGCCCTCAGAGCATAGTGCATTTACTTATTTATGGATTTTTTCAGAGAGAGACTCGAGTAGCCAGGATTAGTCTCACTGTCTAGCTGAGACTAGTCTTGAACTCCTGACCTCCTTGTGGGGTGGCTATTCCTGGTTCTCAACTTGACTACATGTAGACTAAAACCCAAGCATCTGGGCGCACCTGTGAGGAATTTTGTCTTAACTAACCCATTTGAAGTGAGAAGCCTACGTTTGTTTGTTTGAGACAGGGTTTCTCTGAGAAACAGTTATGGCTGTCCTGGAACTCACTCTGTAGACCAGGCTGGCCTGGAACTCACAGAAATCTGCCTGGCTCTGCCTCCTGCGTGCTGGGATTAAAGGTGTGTGCTACCACTGCCCGGCTGGTAAAATGCACTTTACTCAAGATCTTTTGAGGTGAGAAGATCCACCTTTAATCTGGACCACACCTTCTACTGGCAGCCTAGATAGAGGACACGGAGGAAGGACGCTTACTCTTTTGGCCTGCTTGCTCTCACTCTGGCTGGGAAGTCCATTTCTTCACTGGCATTCGAGCCTACTTCTTCAGGATTCTGACATGTACAGAAGACCAGCTGAGACCCCCAGCCTCATGGACTGAACAACTACTGGATTCTTCTTTTTAAATTTAATTAGTTGATCAATTTTTTTTTCTACTGGATTCTCAAACCTTCCATTAGTAGACAGTCAGTGTTGGATTAGCTGGACCACAGCCTACAAACCATTCTAATAAATTCTTTATACATATCCATTCTATAAGTTCTGTTTCTCTAGAGAACCCTGATATTCTGCCTCCAAGACCTCCCAAGTGCTAGGGCCACAGGAACGCACTACCATATCCAGTTCCATTTAGATTTAGAGCCCTCCGGTCTCTGTCCTTTATGCACATTCGACCTTAGGTCCCCACTAAATGTCACCTCCTCCTGGAAGCAGCATGACTCCAATCCTCCACCTGTAGTCCTACAGCATTTATTACATCAGACTTTCCACAGTGGTGGTACTGAGGGGAGCCCCCTACTAGTTATTTTCCATGAGACTCTTAGTCATTTAATATCCTCTAAACTAGCCATAGACTTAAAGGTAAAATAGTCAGGCATTGGTAGTACATGCCGCCTTTAATCACAGCACTCGGAGACAGAGCCAGGCGGATCTCTGTGAGTTCCAGGCCAGCCTGATTTACAGAGTGAGTTCCAGGACAGACTCCAAAGCTATACAGAGAAACCCTGTCTTGAAAAACCAAAAAAAGAAAAGGTAAAATAATGTGATATTTGAAGGGACCAGACCCTCACTCAGCCCCCTGCTATAGCAGCCATGACAGGCTATAGAAAAGACATGAAGGCCTCTGACACAAGGAAACTCCAGATCCTCTGGCCTCCTAGAGCCTAGGGCCAAAACTAAGCACAAAGAAACTCCAGACACCCCCCCACCCCAGATGCTTGGTTCCTGGGAACTGTTTGGCCACAAAAGAAACTCCAGGGGAGACCAAAACCTCCCCTGTAGTTTCCAGGATACAGTTCTGAAAACTATTGGTATCTATGTACAACAGGCTACCTGCAAGTAACAAGACAAAGCCATAGAAACCACAGAATGTTCCCTCTCAGCACTGACCAATGAGAATAATTGGTACACAGATATTTCATGCCAAAATATGACTTTGAAAAATTCTCCTAATTGTTCCCAAATATCAACCAATCAGAAACCAACCCATACCCACTAATGTAATCCTGTAGCTTTTGTCTATAAAACCTAGCAGTAGACAGGGAACTTCACTCCCTCTGGGGGCTGCTGCGTCAGCTCGCTAGACGGGGTCCCTGTCATGGTTGGATGAAATAATAAAACCTTGCTTTTACATACAGTTCAGTGGGTCTGTCTCCCTGGTGGTATCTGGGGATCCTCACGACTTGGGCACAATAATGTTGATATACTGTAGTAAAACTGATCTAGTTGCAAATGCTAACTGGGAATTTAAGGGAAGGACTGGCTTCCAGTGACACAGCTGGGAAGACTGGCAAAGAATTTGCCTGGGGTGTCATGAGTACCCTTTTACCTCTGCTGTGGCAACTCTGTATGGGGTTTTTATTATTATTATTATTATTATTATTATTATTATTATTATTATTATTATTATTATTATCCACTGACAGAAGCTCGATCTCTGTGGCTAGACAAACCTTGCTTTCTTTGGGAGGTCAGATCTCAGGATGCACACCCAGGAATGGACTAGATGTGATTTCTTTTCTTCTCTTTTCCTTCCCACCAGATCTGAGGGAAGGCTAAGGGGGAACAGATCCCAAGGCTTATGTGTATCTGCCTACTCACATCTCCGTTTATCCTGGCCAGGCATTTATCTTCTCACAGCACACTGGCAAAAGGAAACTGTATTTCCTCATCCTCAGCTCCCAACTCCCCACCACAGTCCAAACTCATTTTCCTTTTATTTGTTTTTCTTTTCTAGATAGGGTCTTATAGCCTACATTAGCCTTGAACTTACGATGTAACCAAAGATGACTTGAACTCCTTATTCTCCTGCCTCCGTTTCCCAAGTGCCAGGACTGCAGGTACTCGGCACCATGCTCAGTTTTTTATATGGTTCTGGGGTTCATGCATGTTAGGCAAGCACGCTCTTATTAAAATCTGTTGCATAGCTTTGTACTCAATAAAGGAAGTTTTGTTCAACTAAGGCAACGTGCTATCTTCTGCATTTCTAGGTGACTTGTCTACAATCAAGTATCAATACTCATAAATTCTTGTGAAGTCCATAGGAGTTTATAAATTGTCAAGGCCCAGTTCTCTTAAAGCAGAGATTTCTGGCTCATTTCAACTTAGTCTGAGTACCTGGATGATATGGAGGATGGACTGTCTTATGAAGTCTTGCTTGTCCTTAACGATTTCTAAGATGTGACCAGCACTAGCATGAGGTTTTAATTGTTGACATAACACAATCTAGAATGACTTAAGAAGGGTTGCCTAGATCAAGTTGGCCTGTGGGCATGGCCATAGGGGATTATCTTGAGGTAGAAAGGGCTGCCCACTGAGGGCGACACCATTTCTTAGGCAGGGGATGCTGAACTGCAGGTGAGCCAAGAGAGCAAGCATAAGTGTGCACGCATCCAGTCTCTCTGCTCCTTTATTTTACTTTATGTGTTCAGGTGCTTGTATGTCTGGTGTCATGCGTATGTCTGGTGCCCACAAAGGCCAGAAGAGGGTGTCAGGTCCCTTGAAACTGGAGTTATAGATGACTACGAGCCACCATGTGGGTGGTAGAATTGAACCCAGATTCTCTGGAAGAGAGCAGCCATTTTTCCAGCCCTTTTCATCTCTGGCTGGCCAAGAGCTTATGTAGACCAGGCTGGCCTTGAACTCAGAGATCCATCTGCTCCCGAGTGCTGGGATAAAAGGCATGTGCCACCTATAGAAATATTTATTTATCTATCTACCATTGTTTTATTTATTTATTTATTTTCCAAGACAACTTTTCTCTGTGTAACAGCTCTGGTTAGTCTGAAACTTGCTTTGTAAACCAGGCTGGCCTTGAACTCAGAGATCCACTTGCCTCTGCCTCTGAGTCCTGGGATTAAGGGCCAAACAGTAAAATAAATAAATATTTATTTATTTGTTGTTATTATTTTTATCCAAGACAATTTAAATGTGTAACAGCTCTGGCTGTCCTGGAACTTTTTTCCCCCTGAGACAGGATTTCTCTGTGTAGCTATGTAGACCAGGCTTGCTTCAAACTCACAGAGATCCGCCTGCCTCTGCCTCCTGAGTGCTGGGATTAAAGGTGTGCACCACCATTGCCCAGCCTGGAGCTCATTTTATAGACTAGGCTAGGCTGGCCTCGAACTCAGAGATTAGCCTACCTCTACTTCCAAAGTGCTAAAAGTAAAGGTGTGAGCTACCACATCCAGCCATTTGTTATTTTTTAAGATAGCATATAAAATAAGGGTTTGTCATGTCATCTTTATATGTGTTGGTCTCTTTTCTTTCTCAACATAGTGCTCCTTCTGCTTTCTTATTACATGTAATCTACTATCCCCTTCTACTTCTTCCCCTTGGAATCCGCATTCTAGTTTCATACATATCAACACACACAAATATGCACATGCACACACATAAATGTATTTACATATGTAATTCTAACCTGGGTACCACATGAGAGAGAAAACATGTGGCAGTGTCTTCCTGAGTCTAGTTTACTTCATTTAGTATAATGACTTCCAATTGTATTCATTTTCCTGCAACTGTCATGAGAGAAATTTGCTTTTAATGAAACACTTCTGCTCTCTGGTCCAATGATTCTTACACTGTGGCATGTTTTAGAAGCCCCCAGAGCTGTTAAAACATGGGGAACTAGGTCTTACCCCTAAGCTTCTGGATCAGCAGGTCTGCAGGATGGCCTGTTCTTTTAAAAGCAGGTTTATTGAGTATACTGCAAGGGACAGCCAGCTGGAATAACAAGAGGTTGCCTGAAACCGAGAGTCTGCCTTTCTTTTTTTTTTTTGTTTTTTTTTTTGGTTTTTACGAGACAGGGTTTCTCTGTATTGTTTAGGAGGCTATCGGTCCAGCCCGGCCTCGAACTCACAGAGATCCGCCTGCCTCTGCCTCCCGAGTGCTGGGATTAAAGGCGTGCGCCACCACCGCCCGGCTGAGAGTCTGCCTTTCTAACAAGTTCCTAGACTACCCAGAACTACTGCTTATGCCTCAAAATGACATGACAGGAAGACATTACCCTGGCATATTCTGCAAGTTTCAGAAACATCTATTGATTAATGACTCTCCTAGAATCTGGAGTTTAAGAAATTGGTGAGTTGGGAAGGGGACAGGCAGCTCAGTGGTTAAGAGCACTGGCTGCTTTTGCAGAGTACTGGGTTCAGTCCCCAGCAATCACATGAAAGCTCAGAGTGGTCTATAACTCCAGTTTCAGGCTGTCTAAACCCATTATGGCTTGTACAGACACACATGCAGTGCACATACATTCAGGCAAAAACACTCACACATATAAAACTTTTTTAAAAAGAGAAAGAAATACATGAGGAATACTGGATGTCCTCTAAGTCTTCACTACCCAGTTGCACATGGAGGTATATGGTACTCACTCAGCAGAGCCAGGACAGCACCCAGGATGGGGAGGATGAATCCACCCTTCCAGGGGTCAGGGCAGGTCACCACGTGGCCATGGCAGTCACACACTTTGGCCCTGATCATGGTTAGTTGTTCCCTGTTTCCATGGTCAGACAGAGAAAGGTGCAAATCATATGTGTCTTGCTTCAGGAACTTCTTCAGGGACAAAGCCACCGTGTCTCCTGGAGAGACAGACAATGCATTAGTCTAGGGATGTCATATGCGGTAGGCACTGGGTACCAGATGATAAAGGATTGAGAAGAGCCTCAGCACTGATGAACAAGAAGCAGTCTTTGTCTAAGTGCAGCACTGCTTAGCATCCATGAGGGTTCTGGGTTCAAGCCCCAGAGCATAAAAGCAAAACAAAACAAACAAGATGTCTCCAAAACTCTGGCTAAAGTAAAATTTAACACTGTGAGAAAGAGTATTGGGTTACAAAAATTGCTTCACTTGTGGTTATCATCTTTATCATCTCATTATTACGGTTGTGCTACTGTTGTTGCTGGGATGTGTGTGGGCTGGGGCATGTGTGTTATGATACACAAGTGAGGAACAGAACAGAGTCTTTTGGGATTCAGTCTCCTTCTTCCACCTCCGGATTCTGGGAGTCAAACTCAGGTCCGTCAAGTTGTGTAACTCTTTTACCCTCTGAGAAATCTTGCTACCCCACAAAATTAATTCATCTCTTTTTCTTTTTTATGTGTATGGATATTTTATCTGCATGTATGTCTATACATCTGTGTACCACGTGTGTGCCTAATGCTCTTGGAGGCCAGAAGAGAGTGGTGCTGCATCCTCTGAAACTGTGGTTACAGACAGTTGCGAGCTGCCATGTGGGTGCTGGGAAGTGAACCGGGTTCACTGGAAGAGCAGCCAGTGCTCTCAACCACTGAGTCTCTCTCCACCCCCAATTAATTAATCATTTTAAAATTAATTAATTATTTTACAAGATAGCATTTTACTCTGTAGTCTGGGTTAGTATCAAACTCATGGCAATTCACTTGCCTCAGTCTCCTGAATTCTGGGATTACAGGTGTCAGTTGCCATGCTTGGCTGTCTTTTCATTAAAAACAAACAAGAGGCCGGGCGTTGGTGGCACACGCCTTTAAAGGAGACAGAGGCAGGCGGATCTCTGTGAATTCGAGGCCAGCCTGGTCTACAAGAGCTAGTTCCAGGACAGCCTCCAAAGCCACAGAGAAATCCTGTCTCGAAAAACCAAACAAACAAACAAACAAGAAAGCAATTACAGTATTAGCAAAATGTTAAGTTCTGGGAAGTCATGTGATATTGGACCAATGTTTGTGGTATCATCAGCTGCTAGACTATTCTTTGCCTCAAAATAATAGAATGGTGGCTCATGCCTTTAATCCCAGCACTTGGGAGGTAGAGGCAGGAGCATCTCTGAGTTTGAGGCCAGCCTGGTTTACAGAGTGAGTTTTCGGGACAGCCAGAGTTATACAGAGAAACATTGTCTCAAACATTATTCTAAGAAGTAGCTAACTTAATTGGTTAATATTCACATTAACTGGCTACCTATCTTTTTTGAGACAGGGTTTCTCTATGTAGTCCTGGCTGTTCTGGAACTCACTCTGTAGCCTCAAACTCAGAGATCCACCTGCCTCTGCCTCCTTAGTGCTAGAATTAAAGATATATGCTACAACTGCCTGGCCTGTTACCCATCTTTTGTCTGTCTGTTTGTTTTTGTTTTTTTTTGAGACAGGATTTCTCTGTGGCTTTTGAGGCTGCCCTGGAACTAGCTCTTATAGAGCAGGCTGGTCTCGAACTCACAGAGATTCGCCTGCCTCTGCCTCCCGAGTGCTGGCATCAAAGGCGTGCGCCACCACCGCCCAGCCCTGTTACCCATCTTTAAACAAGTATTTTATTGTACATGTATGAGTGTTTTGCCTCTGCACAAAGTGTGTGCTTGATGCCCATGGAGGTGGGAAGAGGATGCCAGATCCCTTGACACTGGAGTTAAAGATGGCTATGGGCTACCATGTGGGTGCTGGGTAATTGGTCCTGGGTCCTCTACAAGAGCAACAGGTGCTCTTTTTTTAAATTTTATTTAATGTGTACAGGTGTTTCCCCTGCATGTATGTCTGTGTGCCACATGCATACCTAGTGCTGTGGATACCAGAGAAGAACATCTGAGCCCCTGGAACTGGAGCTGCAGGTGGCTGCAAGCCACCCATGGCTGAGCCATCTCTCCAGCCTCTGAAACAGATGCGTTTAACTACTGAGAAATCTCTTCAGCCCTTGCTACCTAATTTTGTTTGTGTTTTTATGGCGAATGTTGCTGTTTGATTGTTCTTTTGAGACAGGGTCTCATTATATAGCCCTAGAACTCACTAAATAGATCAGGCTGGCCTTGAACCCATAGAAACCTGCTGCTTTTGCTTCCTGAGGGCTGGGATTAAGTGCAATCATGTCCAGTCTTGTTTGTTGTATTTTTGAAGACATCTTTTAGGGCTTCTGAGGGATTTCAAAGGCTGATATAAAGCTAAGAAAGAGCACTTGATGGCCACTTTTGAGACCATTAACTCTGGGACCGACACCCGCCCAGCTGAACTGGCAGCCTCCCGCTATCACCACTGAGTTACCTTTCTCGCTGACTTCTGCTGCCCAGTAGATGTCCGAATCATGTGTTAGCTGGGCCTGGAAAGGGGAGGAGTTGGGGGACAGGTCCTTGTCCGTGATGTTCAGTACTTGAGGCACAGGGCTTTGGTTACAGATAGTGATCTGGCGGGGTTCTGGGAGTGGGCCATGGTCGTTGACGTCGGTAAGTGTTAGCAGGAGGGTCCCAGTACCAGTGGTGGGTGGACTCCCTGTTCACAATGACACAAATGACCTTTTGAGCTTCTGCTTTTGCTCTTAGTGGTGAATGAACCAATGTGAAGTTCCCCCAAGGCCTTACTCAGTCTTCCCCCACGTAGCTCCTTGGTTACCACACCTGGCTATCCCCTCCTAAGTTCCTCAAGACACTAAATTCATTGCAGATCAAATTGGCAATGGCAAACCCATGACAATCATACCATAACTCTAATTTGTGTCCACAAAAGATATTACTAACAAATCACAGTGCAGCAAAAACTACTACTACATCCAGCCATTATAATAGATCATAGAGTAAAATTTACTTGTTACCTCAAGTAGTACAGTTGTCTACTGATCAGCTTCAAGAAACCTGAAGCTTCAGAGAAACCCCCCTTAAGGCCTTGGTTCACTAACTGTCAAAGATGGCATAATATTGTAAGCCCCCTTGGTTATGGTGCAACACCACTAATCACTTGTATTCCCAGCAGTCCTTGTCCATCAACCATCAGTAGAAACTGACAGGCCAATTCAAAGTTCAGTGAACTAAAAACAAGCTGAAAAGGGAGTCCTTAGTACCTTGTTTATTTCTTGGGAGTCAGAAAAATTAGGATCAGACTGGTTTGTCAATCCCCTCCCTCCCACCATCTCCTGCTAAGGAGGGAATATGCTATGTCCTGTGCCCTGGGTACCACAGGCCTGCCTGTGGAAGGACTTGGTTAAAGCTCTCACCATTGTCTGTGGCCAAAACCATGACTTCGTAGATGTTGTTCTTCACAAACCGCTCATTCTCACGATCTAAGATGCCTGCAGCCGTGACCTGACCACTGTCTGGGTCCATGGCTAGCCAGCCAGCTGGGTCTCTCAAGATGTGGTAGCTGGACAGAAAGTTGAGAAGGGTCACAGCTAGCATACACAGAATTCTACTGTTATCATTTAGAGCCTCCTTGGACCAACCACAGAGTCTTCAGCCTTGAGGACGGCAGGAAGGAGGGTCTGGTGCAAGGATGATGACATCAGTATTGAACAAACTTTACAGTGAATGGAAGAAGCCACCCAAGTGTACATATGTCCTTAGCTGACCTGGTACCCAACCCCCAGGTACCTGATCTTCTGATCCTCCTTGTCTGGGTCCTGAGCAGTATAGACACAGACCAATTCTCCAATCGAGATACCCTCTTGGGCCTCGATGACTTTGGAAGGTGGGACAAACACAGGGGCCTCATTGACATCTTCCACGTGCACCACTATGGTAGCAGTGGCAGTCGGGAGCTTCACCACAAAGGGAGCCTCATTGGTCACCTCTATGTACAGCGTGTGTTGGTTCTGAGCCTCAAAATCCAAGCCCTAGGAGAGAAGAAGAAGCTGAGGCAGCATTTCGTGAGGTGGCCTATGGATATCAAAGGGGTCACAGTGAAGGGACCATGTCTCTGGCCAGCAACAATCCTACCCCCTCCTACTTCAGGTTCCCCCAACTCCCTGTGTTTCCTAAAGGAAAATCTACTGGGGTCTTTCAGATCACCCCAAGGCTTATTAGTGAGGCCTAGAAGGTTCATTCCCAATGGGGCAGTGATGTCCTCTCTAGGACAGCTGAGAAGCTGTGGGGCATGTTAGTCATGACTAAGGTGCCTCCGGTAACTAGCCTGGGGAGGATGCTGCACCACACCAATGTTGTGGACAAAGAACCACTTCTGTGTCTCTTGTGATTTGCCAATGTCCCCACGGTCACTCATATACTCACTGGAGAGAGAAACCTGCTTATAATTATAGCCAAGAACATGTTTAATATATAAAGCAAGCTTTGGTGTGGTTTTAATATAGACTGAGTTCTCAAGGAATGCAGCTTCTGAAAGGGGCTTGTAATTTAATTTGTTCAGGATGTTTCAGTTGTTTATTCTCTGTTCTGAATACCAGTGGTGGTAATTATTCACCAGGCCAGCACATAGGATCCACTGCACTCGGAATGTTCTACAAACAAATGCAAGGGTCTGACCACTTCACCGTCTTTCGGGGTTATGCTCAAATGTAGCTCACATATCAAAATACTTAGGAATGTTTCTTTCTATTTTATAATTCTCTTTCTTTGTATAATATATATGTGGAGAGAGAGAGGGGGGGTTACTATATAATCCTAATCCTGACTGTCCTGGAATTTTTGTTTGTTGAGCCCTGGCTGTCCTGGAACTCACTCTGTAGACCAGGCTGGCCTTGAACTCACAGAGATCCGACTGCCTCTGCCTTCTGAGTGCTGTAATTAAAGGTGTGCGCCACCACTGCCCAGCTTGGCCTGGAACTCTTAACCATTGAGTTGTCTCTCAATCTCTGGCCTGGAACTCAATATGCAAGACAAGGCTGTCTTTGAACACAGAGATCAAAGGTCTCTTGGGATTAAAGGCATGCCCCACCTGGCTTTATTTAAGTTTTCTTTCCTTTTTTTTTTTTAAAAGAAAACTGAATTTATTTTTATATTTTACTTTCTAGTTGGATATCAGCTTTAGTCAAGAGGTTTATTTATTTCTTATTTTATGTGCATTAGTGTTTTGCCTGCATTTATGTCTGTGTGAGGGTGTCAGACATCCTGGAACTGGAGTTACAGACAGATGTGAGCTGCCATGTGGGTGCTGGGAACGGAACCCAGGTTGCTCTTAACCCATGAGCCATCTCTCCAGCCCTTTAAGTTTTCATTTTTGTGGTGCTGCTAGGAATCAAACCCAGGGCTTTGCATTTACTAGGCAAGTGATCTATCACTGAGCCAGAACCTCAGCCTATTTTTCTACTAAGTACTAAGTTGGCTAAACTGTGTTATATATGAACTTCACTCCATAACATAAGAGGCATTGCTACAATGAATGTTTCAAAAGGATGCATCTGAAATAGTCTTTATTCATGTTTACTCATTTTGTTTGCTTTAAGGCGAGGTTGGAATGAATGGCCTGCTATGTAGACCAGGTTGGCCACAAACAGTAATCCTCCTGCCTCTGCCGCCCCAGTGCTGGGATTACAGGTGTGTACTACTATGCCCATTGGAAGCAGTTTTAAGAACTGCTTCTCACACCAAGTTATTCTCTATATAAACTAGAAGGACAAAGCAAAGACAAATCAAGGTTCTTTTTCTGTGTTCTTTGAGATAAGGTCTTGTTGTATAGCCCAGGCTGGCCTCAAACTCATTAAATCCTCTTACCTCTACCTTCTGAGTGCTAGTAAGTAAGTGTATCACCATGCCTAAATCAGATCCACATTCTTTTCTGGTGCTGACACCTGGGATCAAGCCAACCTACCTACCTACCTTCCTTCCTTCATAGTTTTTTTTGTGACGGGATTTCTCTGTGTAGCTCTAGCTGTCCTGGAACTAACTCTTGTAGGTCAGGTTGACTCACAGAGATCTGCCAGTCTCTGCCTCCCGAGTACTGGGACTACAGGCATGCACCACCATTGCCTGGCTGGGCTCATATTTTTAACCATTAATCATTACCTTTTTTGTTGAAATAGTCTAACTGTATAGTTCAGGTTGGCCTTGAACTCACAAGGTAGCCCATGCTGGTCTTTAAGTTAAGGATCCTCTTAAATGTTGGAATTACAGACACGTGACACCATGTCACATGCTTGTCTCTTAAAGGCTCAATTCTATTCAAGTGTTTATTTGTTTAGGTTGTTTCATAGCTCAGATTGACTTCATAGCTGAGAATGAACCTGAACTCCTGACTTTCCTGATTCAATGTCCCAAGTGTGGGATCATAGGTGTGAATTACCCTGCCCTGTTCCCAAAGACTTTTTGACCCAACCTTACCCTGTATCCTGATAAAAAGAAGACCAAAAGAGAAAAAGGCCCTGAGCTCTATCCCCAGTACCATGATACTCTCCCAACCCCCCAAACAAAACCCACACTCAGACTCTGTTTCAAAAGCCTAAATAAGCTGGGGTTCTTAGCACAAGAGCAAGGGGACTGTATCAGGGGTCACTGTCTTGGTGCAATCCCTAGGCCCAAGGGAAGCGGCCTGAGGCAGGAGGTGTCCCTCTGCCCTAGAGGCCCAAACACACCTACCTTCTTGGTTGTCAGGATGCCTTGGTTGGTCTCTGGGTGAGTGGTGATGGTAAAATGGTCCCCATCATCACCTCCCACGATTTGGTAGGTGGCACGCCATGCCGGTGAGTTGGGGGCATCCAGATCAGTCACTGTTAGACTCTGCACGTCATGGCCCACTGTGTTCTCAGGCACCCAGGCCTCATACTGTGGAGGGAGTGGGGTGGGACACAGTGTAATCAGAGCAGAGAGAGGAGCTGTCCCAACTGGCTACTCCACTCTCCATCAGCTGGGAATCCTCAATCCGCTGCTGGGAAGCCCCATGGCCTTTTCACATTTCTGGACCAGCAACCCATAGAGATTTTCAGGACACACAGGTAGAGAGAGACAATTCCAACCATCAACACAGACATGGAGACAAGGTCACACAACCTGAACCCGCTTTCCCTCTTCATGAGGGCCAGAAGCTCTGGACTCTCCTAGTCTGGGTGCCCAAGCCCCTACTGTGCATAGTCACCACCCTCGGGCAGAGAGCAGAGGTCCTAAGAAAGATGGCAACAGGGATCGGTGCCTCACTGTGCTGGTGGCCAGGAAGTTTGGGCACAGGTTACAAAGGACAAGGGAGACAGCTTTCTTTTAAGCTTTAGGTTTTTGTTTCTTTTTTAAGACAGGGTTTCTCTGTGTAGTTCTGGCTGTCCTGGAACTCTGTAGACCAGGCTGTCCTGGAACTCACAGAGTTCTGCCTGCCTCTGCCTCCTGAGCACTGAGATTAAAGGTAAAATATGGAGTTGAAGATGACTCTGAACTCCTGATCCTGTCTTTACCTACCAAATATAGTATTTATAGGTACCCTAAGTCTTCAGAATAGTGTGTGTGTGTGTGTGTGTGTGTGCGTGCATGCATGTGTATGCAGGGGTGAGAGGTCAGCTTCAGGTATTGCTCCCCAGAAGCTGTCCACCTTGTTTCCTGAGACAAGCCAGGGAGCCCCAGAAATCTTATCCCCACCTCCCCAACAACCTGGCTTTTCACTCAGGTCTCCATGTTTGCACAGCAAACACTTTACAAATTGAGCCATCTCCACAGGCTAGAGATTTGTGTACAAACGCAGGGGAGTGTGTGTCACTTCAACTGATGTTGAGGGTTTTTTCCCCTTTAATTTTATTATATTTAATGTATGGGGTGGGGGAGTGCATGTGTGTTGTAAGCTTGTAGAAATCAAAGGACAGGGTCAGTTCTCTCCTTCCACCACGTGGGTCCTGGGATCAAACAAGTCATTTGGATTAGCGGAAAGTATTCTTGCCCACTGAGTCATTTCTCCAGTCCTGGCATTGAGTTTTCTGTTCCAGAAGCTATGTAAGTTTATGGGCATGTACAGATACAAGGTAGGTAAGCTTTCACATGACAGCAAGCCCTGTACTACCTGTAGACTGTATACAGATCATTACACCAATAATTCAGAACTATCAGGTATTTATCATTATCTCCATTTTACAGATTAAGAAAGAAAGTGGGCACAGAGAGGCCCGGCGGTTTGCCCAAGGTTACACAGCCAGTAAGTGACAGACTTGGAACTTGGTTGGTTTTGGAGAAGCAGCCAACCCCAGTCTTTTATGTGATGAGGAATGCAGGAACGAACTTACCTTCTGTGGCTCAAACTCAGGAGCATTGTCATTGGCATCAAGGATTTCCACTACGGCCACTGCTGTGGTGGTAGAGCCCTCTCCATCCATGTCTGTGGCCTGGATGGTCAATGTGTACTCAGGGACTTTCTGGGGAGAAAGGAGCAAAGAGGAAGCCCAATCTGAGTCCCATGTGAGGGGCTGCTCACCTGGGGGTGTAGAGGCAGGAGAAGCAGTCCTCCCTTTCACTGTTTCTCAGTTCCTTGGCCCACCCCTCACTCACTTCCAGGGAATGGACCAGTATACATATGATGGGGTCCAGGGGTGCAGGAGTCTCATCTCCAATAGCTCACCTGTGAAACCCCAAGCACTGCCAAACCCTCGCTGTTCCACATAGGGTCTTATAACAAGAATCTAGGCAAAGATATTAATTAGGTAACAGAAGGTAATTCCAATATCCAAGGAGCTAGTTCTACTTTGTGGCACACAAGGGACGAATCTGGGCAACATGTAAACTAAATGAGCCATTCGGACAGGAAATGAGAACTGCTCAAAAGCCTGCATTTTACAGCTGCCTCCTTACCCCCAGGGGATCTAGCCAGCAGATTAGGCAGCAGGCCACTGGCCCAAAGAGCTGTGGGACAGCAAAAGTAAAGGCAGCAGTAGCCAAGCCAATGCAGCTGAGCTGGGTCTCCACTGCCCTGCCTTGACCCTGGGACAGCCACAGGAGCTTCTGTTCTGAGTCAGGCTTTGGCACTCACCTCCCGGTCCAGGCCACTGGAGATGACACTAATGGTCCCAGTGCTTTTGTGGATGGTGAACATGAGGTCATAAGGCTCCTTTGGTTCTTGGCTATGAATGGAGTAAGCCACCACTCCGTTGTAAGTGTTGACGGCGTCATCCTCATCTGTGGCTGTTACCTGCATCACAGAAGTGCCTGCAGGGGGAGGGGACCACTGAACACCTTTCTCTCTAGCCCAGTACCAGCCTTGCCTACTCTGCCCTGCACACCAGAAGGATCTCATCCCTGCTCGGTGGCAGCTAACTTTCTGCAACCCACTTGCCATCATGCCCTTCTTTCCTGGGAAGTGGGTCCTCCGTTTAGGCTGGTCACCGCCATCGGGGACATATCTTATATCTCCTATCCTTCTAGCCACAGCTGTGATTACGGTAGTGACTTCTGATAAATTTGGAGGAAGTTTTTTGTTGTTGTATTTATTTATTTGTTTGTTTGTTTGATATTTCGAGACAGGGTTTCTCTGTAGCTTTGGAGGCTGTCCTGGAACTAGCTCTTATAGACCAGGCTGGTCTCGAACTCACAGAGATCCAGGCTGGTCTCGAACTCACAGAGATCCGCCTGCCTCTGCCTCCTGAGTGCTGGCATTAAAGGCGTGTGCCACCACCGCCCGGGCTTTGTTTTTAAAGAATGTACTCATATTGCTGGTGATTCAAGCTTGTAATCCCAGAACTTTGGGAGGTTGAGGCGAGAGGACTGCCCATGAGTTCAAGTCTTGACTGCAGAGTAGCGAGACTCTGTATCAAACAAATAATAAATTAGCATGCTGTTTGTTCTTCATCCTCCTGCTAAATGTAATGGCTATGGCTCCATCAATCACAAGAGTCACCTTAGGAGCAGCAGAATAATAAGACAGGAAACCTAGACCTTTAACGGAAGTCCCAGTGCCACCTGAATCAATTGTCTCTGGGCCTTCTCAGTATAAAGAAAAGAAAAAGCAAAATTTTCATCTTATTAAGATTATTTAGGTCAGCCTGATTTACACAACAAGTTCCAGGCCAACAGAGGCCACATAGTTCCAAAAAACTGACAATACAACAACAACGAAAAGACTTTTAGAAGCTGGGAATGGTGATATTATGCCTGTAACCCCAGCACACAGAAGGCAAAGGCAGGTGGCTTTCTGTGAGTTCAAGGCCAGACTGATCTACACAGTGAATTTTTTAGACCAACATTTTTATCAGTGTTGTGCTCACGATGCTAAGGCAGGATATGACAAGTTTGAGGCTAGGCTGGGCTACATAGGGAAATCTTGTCTCCAAAAAAAAAAAAAAAATCAAAACAAGCAAATAAAAACCAGCTATTTTAATGGTGGGAATTTCTGTTATTGGTAATCTCTGATCAACTCATCTCTGAACCTCTCAGCCAGAGGCCAAGAGGTGATCCAAACAAGAAGGGAATCTAGTCCATGTTCCCAGCACCTGTCACTGAGCTTAGGAACATGCATCGATTCTGTTCCTCTTTTCCCTAGTGATGGCAACTTACTTTGCTTCTGTAAGTCACAGACTGACACCCCTGGGAGCTCCACAGTATGTAGAAGCACATACATGATGCATATGCTTTTTTTCTCTTTCGTGTGGTGCTGGTGGTGCCCAGGGCCTATCATACAGTCAGCATGTGTTCCACCCCTGAGCTACACCCTCAGTGGCATGTGTTGTTTCTAACCTTCATAACAGTTCAAGGTTGATAGCCTACTTGGATTGAAGCTCAGAGGTCATGGATGTGCCCGAGGTCACAGCCAGTAAAGAGGCGAAGTCCAGATTTAACTCTGAGTCTCTGCAGCTCCTAAGTCTGGCTGAGCCCTGAGCTTCTGGGGAGTTCTCAAAAGTGAACGCCAGAGCTCCACTACAGGGCAGGCTTGATCAGGACTCTCGGGGTAGATGGGCAGTGTCATGAGGGAATCTGACACACAGCCATGAAGTTCTGGGCTGACCACCAGAAGCTGATCCCTGACTAGATCTGGACCCAGCTGACCCAGAGTAGCCCCTCCCCAATCTTACCAGGTGTTGCCCCCTCAGACACCCTCCCTCTGAAGGTCTCCTGAGTGAACTTGGGTTTGTTGTCGTTCTGGTCTGTCACCACGATGGAGATGTTCATGGGCTCCTCCACAGAGGCACCATTCTCGGACACTGCATGGCCAAAAAGCTGTGGGCACAGAGGCCTGGGGTGAGCTGGTGCTCCCTCCTCACCAGGCCTCGGGCCTACCTCAGAAAAGACATCTACCTTGGATCCTAAAGGCTACTTACCTCATACTTGACAATCTTCTCCCTGTCCAGTGGCATATTCAACAGCAACCAGCCTGTCTCCTTCTCTATAGTGAAGACACCCTCAGGGGGACTATCTGCTCCAGGCCCAGTGATGCTGTAGAAAATCTTGGTGCCTCTGTCCTTATTAGATTTGAGCTAGAAACAAACAAACAAAATGACAGCTGACAAAGTGGCAGGTGCCTCACCTGGTGGCAAGGAGCCTCCTGCAGCCCTGCGCCCAGCAGCAAGAAGGCTCACTCTTAGGTCCCCAGACGATAAATCCTGCAGACATCAGTGATGCTCAAGCAGAAGACACAGTCATACCTGATTCAGCCTCTGAGGGAAAGGACCCTTGCCATTCTCAGGGACTGATATTGGCGGCATCACCCACTCTCTCTTCTGTCTTCTTAAGATGCGTTTGGGCAGGGAGCTCACTGCAGCCTTCCCTTTCTGCAAGGAAAGATATGAATAATATGTTGTTAGATTTTACACCAAAGGAGAGTCAGGTGTGGTGACACACACCTGTAATCCCAGATCTCAGGAGGCCGAGGCAAGAATCAGGAATTAAAGGTCATCCTCAGCTACCTAGCAATATGAGGACAGCCTAAACCATGTGAGACCCTGTGTCAAAAAATAAAAACAAAAACAAAAAACAACCCCCAAAACAAAAAAAACTCAAACAAACAAACCCAAAAAAACAAACAAACAAACAAACAACAACAATAACAACAAAATACAAACCCAGTTGCCAGGTGGTGGTGGCACACGCCTTTAGCCCCAGCACTTAGGAGGCAGAGGCAGGTGGGTCTCTGTGAGTTCAAGACCAGCCTGGTCTACAAGAGCTAATTCCAGGACAGTCTCCAAAGTCAGAGAAACCCTGTCTCAAAAAAAAAAAAAAAAACCAAACCAAACAAATAAACAAAAAACACCCAGTAATAACACTGGGTAATATTAATAACAGAAAAGAGGAAACATTTATTCATTTTATTGCATATATGCAGGGAATAATTTTTCTAAATGTGTATGACATACGGAAGGAAACTGAAGGGAGAGAGCCTGCTCACAGTGGTTATCTGTGTCTTCTCAAGAAGGATGGGCAGGGATATAAGCAGATGGAGACAAAGATTTTCCATTATATGTCTTTAAATATTTGTGTTTTGAACATTTTGACTATTCGAAAAACTAAAATGCACAGGGCATCGGTGACGCATGCCTTTAATCCCAGCACTCGGGAGGCAGAAGCAGGAGGATCTCTGAGTTGAGGCCAGCCTGGTCTACAGAGCGAGTTCCAGGACAGGCTCCAAAGCTACACAGAGAAACCTTGTCTCGAAAAAACAAGCAAACAAACAAACAAAGCCTAAAACACCCTAGGAAGCGGGTGGTGGCGGCACATGCCTTTAACCCCAGCAGTTGGGAAGCAGAAACAGGTAGATCTCTGTGAGTCCGAGGTCAGCCTGGATTACAGAAGTGAGTTCCAGGACAGCTAGAGCCACATAGGGAAGCTAGAGCCAGGAAGGAAGTATGACTAAGTGCCTCTTCCCTGCCCCGGGGACTGTCTCTCTACTGGGAAGCTTCAGCCACCTCTACGCTCCCATTAGCAGTGGACGCTAGGTTGGCGAGGGTGGGGGGTGCTAAGGGCTTACTTATCGTGAACTACTATAGCAACCAGGGACTCTGGCCAGCAGTAATCTGCACACAGCACCTTCTTCTTGTCCTGAAGACAGGCATGGCATTTTACCTGGACTGTCCCACTGTTGAGCACAGTGACTTCTCCATGCGCTGCACCATGCATCTCATGTCCAGTGCATCCAGTCAATGCTACTGTGAGGAAAAGGAAAGAGGGAATTAGAGAGCAGTCCCCTGACTAGACTAAGGACCGCCACGTGGTGGCACCTGAGGATTTACTCTCTTTGTCTAGGAGGTGGTTACAAGTCTCAGGTGACCTTTCTACACATAGTCTTGCCATTATTTTAGTGTTTTTTTTTAATTATTATGTATACAGTGTTCTGTCTGCATGTATCCCTGCAGGACAGAAGAAGGCACCATTACAGATGGTTGTGAGCCACCATGTGGTTGCTGGGAACTGAACTCAGGACCTCTGGAAGAACAGCCAGTGTTCTTAACCACTGAGCCATCTCTCTAGCCCTCTTACCATTATTTTAAATATGTTTTACATTTGTATGAATTTATATCACACGTGTGCAGGTGCCTGTGAAAGCCAGAAGAGAGCTGGACAGAGCTGGAGCTGGGGTTCCAGGTGCTTGTGAGCCACCTGATGGGAGCGTTGGGAACTGAACTCAGGTCTTCTAGAAGAACAGTACCTGCCCTTGACCACTGAGCCATCTCTCCAGCCCCTACATTTGGTTTGGCGGAGGGAGGACCAGCTCACCATCAGTTTGTGTGCCCAGCCCCGTTTTTCACCAGGCTGGAGAACCAGGGTTGTGAGCATTCATGACATTAGCTGCAGGCAGCCTTGTTGAGTTACAGCTAAACGAAGGTGATTTCTTGGAGGCTATTTACACAGCGTAGGCATTCAACAATGTGACACTGCTACCCACAGACACTTTCTGCAACTTCTAGTAATTTAAGTTTGTCACACTTCTTTTGAATTCTACCTGCAAGGCTACTGCCCCTTCCCCCACAAACATTTTATTTATTTTACATGTATGAGTGCTTTGCCTGCTTGAATCTCTGTACACCAAAGAGGCAAGAAGAGGGGAATGGATTCCCTTGTAACTAAAGGAACAGGTGGTTGTGAACCACCGCGTGGTTGCTGGCAATTGAACCTGGGTCCTTTGGGAGAGCAGCCAGTTCTCTTAACCACTAAGCCATCTCTCCAACCGTTGGAGTTACTGACTACAAGTCACCACCATACATCTAAGGTAGCTCTTAGCCCCCCCCACCATTTTACTTTGTGTTGCTGTGGGGGCAAGCCCAGGGCCAGACAGGTGCTTTAGTATGGAGTTGTACATCCTGAGGGAGGATGGGGAGGAAGCAGACCCCTCACATGCAGGGCTGGTGGGAACGTGAAAGTGACAGCCACTGTGGGAGTCTGGTCGGCAGTTAGGAGTGCTGGCTGCTCTTTCAGAGGGTCTGGGCTCCATTCCAAGCACCCACATCTGTAACTCTAATTCCAGGAGATCTGACACCCTCTTCTGGCCTCCATGAACACCAAGTATGCATGTGGTGCACAGACATACATGTAGACAAAAACACATTAAATAATAAAATTTGAAAAAAATTAAAATGTATTCACAGGCTGGGCATGTAGCTCGGGAGTAGAGTGCTGTCTGACATATACAAAGTCCCAAGTCCAATCTCCAGCATTTTTCCCTTTAAACCAAAAGTGCATGATAAGATGTTCACAGCAGCACTACTCGTCACTGCTACAACTGGAAATGGTCCGCGAAAGCAGCTCGGACAGACACACTGTGGTGTCACCGCATTTCGAATGACTCAACTGCAAGGGCATGCCACAAGGAGCAGAGGGCTGAGAAGCAAAGCCAGATTGAAGGCAGGATGCATGCTTGTGGGGGAAGAGACACCCCCTCCCCCCCAAACAGCCGAAGCTTGTAGTCAAGACAGACCCCGTAATAAAAGACAGAGTAAGAGGAGAAAAACAAGCTCATTAACGTATTCAGTATGTGTCACATGGGTGAAGCCTCCGTGTGGCTTAGACAGAACTTCCTCAACAGTGAACAGTGCAGTTCAAAGTGACAGGACAAAGGGAAGCACTTACAGAGGCAGGAAACTGTGGATGTAAATCCAGGGAGCAAACTGATGCAGGGAGGTTTCTTCACTGACAGCGTGACTTTCAGAAAGGAGCATTCATAGCCTGCTAGGGGGAAAACTGGGAGGGCAGAAAGAGCCTCCTCCCTCTCCTTTCTGCTCTAACCAGACCACCTCTCCCCTACATTGGCATCTGTATCCATCCATCCATCCATCCATCCATCCATCCATCCATCCATCCATCCATCCATCTTTATTTTTTGTGCTATGTACTGAATCCAGGCCTTGCACCCACTGACTACATATTCCCTCACCCCTTTTCTTTCTTTTTTAAAAGGCAAAGTCGTCCTGTACAGCTTTGTAGACCAGGCTGGTCTTGAACTCAGAGTTGTCCTAGGAGCACTGAGATTAAATGTGTGCACCACCATTCCTGTTTTTTTTTTTTTTAAGTATTTTTTTTTCTTTTGGTACTTTTAAAATGCCTCTTTGTTCAAACGTATTTATATCCACAAGGCATTTTCTGGAGCAACACATTTCGGTTTCCTGTAGTATGATTCCACCGTGTGAAGCTAGGAACCTGGCAGAGCTTACGGAGGTAGATGAAGTCAGTGGGGGGGGGGGTGCAGCAGGGCTTAACAACCATCACAAGCCACCTGCAGCCCAGAGTCCAGTGTCAGCTTTCAGAGCCCCAGAGCACACACACCTAGGCAGGATCCTCCTGGAAAGCTGCCGTGTGTGAGTGGGAAGGCAAAGATTGCTTAGAGCTGGCCCTGCCTCCTTGACAAGATGCTCTCTGAGGAGTCCTGGGCTAACACACTTGGCTTGGGGGAGGAAGGGAAGAAAGGGACCTGAACTTGATTCTATTCCAGAGGGTCCCAGGACCCTTGAGAACCATGGAATGGTCCTATCTTTTATTCTATTGCATATGTTTGCAGGCTCTTCCGAGCAATTCTGCATTTCCTTAATCCTAGAAAGACCAGGAACAACAAATATAAGGTAAAGACTAAATCATCTTAAACAACACTGGCATGTACCATCATGTCCAGCTCATAGTTTGTTTGTTTCTTTTCTTTTTTTTTTTTGTTTTTTTGTTTTTTAGAGACAGGGTTTCTCTGTATTGTTTTAGAGGCTGTCCTGGAGGCCGTCCTGGAACTCACTCTGTAGACCAGGCTGGCCTCGAACTCCCGAGTGCTGGGATTAAAGGCCTGTGCCACCAACGCCCGGCTAGCTCATAGTTTCTTAATTAATCTTCATGAAGCAATTTATGAGAAACATTTTAATGCCCATTTTTGAGACTTGGAAACTGAGAGGTTAAAGAAATTCATTAAAGTCACATAGCTATGCAATGAAAATGCCGGGAGTAGTTCCCAGACCTATCTGAAACCTCAGTCATTTCCACAACCACCTCCATCACACTGTCTTTTCCATCTGTCTGAGAGCTTTTCCATTTCCCATTATTCCTCATCTACAAAAATAACAGAGATAATTTTTAAGCCAGTTTTTTGTTTGCTTGTTTTTAACCTCATTGTGTAAGGCTGTTTTTGCCCGTATGTATGTTAGTACACTATACTAACAGTGCGTGTTGAGGAGGCCAGAAGAGAGTATCAGATCCTGTAGACTGGAGCTTTAGGTGGTTTTGAGGGGCCCAATGTGGGTGTTGGGTACCAAACGTGGGTACTCAGCAAGAGCAGTATATGCTCTTAACCACTGAGCCATCTCTGTAGACCCGTACTATTTTTATTTTTAAAAATGTGTTAGTTGTAAGCATCAATGTCTTGATGCAGAAATTGGATTAATTTATTAGAAGCTTATATTTGGAAGACCACCTTTTGACTTCACAGGACCATCATGAATACCATACAAATCAAAACCCCAAAACATGACTCCATCAACCACCAAGAGGAAACTGAACTCCAAGGTGAGATGACTTGCCTAAATCCATACTGCTAAATAGTAGAATTAGAATCAGAACCCTGGCATGGTCAGAGTCTAAAGTCAGATTCTTCAGCAAGGCATCCATTCAAACACTGCCTTGGTGCAACCTGTGCACCTGTGACCTATCCCAGATACCACTCGAAAAGTGCTTATCCCCAAGTACCTCTGAATTCCTACAGGGTGCTCCAAAGCTGCTTTTTCTTGGCCATCCACACCATCCACAAACTGGTCAGCAATGCACGGCTGACAGCGAAAGTACAGAGACAGCCTAAATGCACATCAGTGAGGGACTGACTTCTGTTACATCATCATCCATGCAGCAAAACACCAACCAGAAGCTACAGAAAACTATGAAAAGGGCTGGCAGGGATCTAGCTCAGGGGTAAGTGCTCAAAAAATAAACAAGCTATAGGAGATGGGTGTCCTTATTTTGAGCCTATGAGAAGATCCCAGGGCACAACGTTAATAAAATTTAAAGGTAGAGTGTGGTCTGTTTCCCTGCTAATTTGTTCACATTCGCACTTTATTATTTATTTGATTTATTTATTTATTTATTTATTTATTTTTGGTGACAGTGGGGATTGACAAGGACCTTACACATGCCGGGTAAAAACTCTGTGGGCTACAGCCCTAGTTCATACGCATGCTTTTAAAACTATATCTGAGGGCTGGAGAAATGGCTCAGTGGTTACAAGCACTTCCTGATCAATCACAAGGAATGGAGTTCAAATGTCAGCAGCTATGTCAGGAGGTTCACAAACATTTGTAACTCCAGCTCCTGATGGGAGCTGATGCCCTTTTTTGGCCTCTGCCCCTCTCCTCCCAATAAATAAAATGGAAAAAAAAAAAACCGACAACAACACATTGAAATAAGTATCTCTGAAAAGCAGTTCAAAAGAAATAGGATCCTAGGTAGAGACCCCTGCAGCCAGGACAATGATGACTATCTTAGCCCTTTCTGGAGTCCCATGGTTGCTAACTGTATTGTGCAAAACACTGCCTTAAAATCCACCACGCACGATGTAAGCCCAGAATGTGGGAGGTGGACGCAGGACAATCATGAGTTTACTGTCTTTGTCAGCTGGAGTTTGAAGTCATCCTCAGCTATATGAGACCCGATCTCAAAACGATATAAAAACATGACGGTCACTTTCCTT